GGCACAGAAGAGGAAGGAAAGGTCACTTTTTCAGGTTAGAAAGTGGGGCTCGCACCAGGGGGTGGCTGGCTCGCTCTCTGTGTGCATTAAAAGCCCGGGAGGACATTTCAGAGTGTCTCAAAAGTAGGCTCATGAAAGATCAATTCCTCATTTTCATTTCTCCTAAAGATCCTGGAGTAAACATTCCCCCCTCCCCTGGGGCTAAGGAGGTGTCTTCTGGTGCAATTTCATTTGCTCCAGCTTGGCCAGTGAAAAGCAGATTCCACAAGAAAAATTCACCCCAAACGGACCAATCGATATTCCTAGTGGGACTCTGAGCCATATTGTTCCATTTTAAGCAGTCTCAAACTAGCAGAAAACGCTTTAGAGGGCAGATAGCGGGATGATCTCCAAAATGGAGCATGAAACTCTATGTCAGGATGGATAAGAGCACTTAGAGATACTTCAGGCTCTTCTTTCTCCCTTGTTTTCAGAGTCTCCCCACCACCACCACCAAAAAAAAAAAAAAAAAAAAAAAGAAAAGAAAGAGAGAGAGAGACAGAGACAGAGAAAGGAGCAAAGGTGGGAGGGAGGGCAGGGAAGGGCGATGGAGGAAGATGCTGGGTGCCCCCTTCCCATCCCCCTGCCTCGCACCCCCACCCCCCAGCCTAGAAGCTCTGCACCAAGTCCACGACCGCTCACTTTTGGCGCGAAACCGGCAGGAAGAGAGTCAGATTTCCTTCAGCAGTGAGCTGATTGCTGGAGAAAAATGAATCATTGCACACTTGAGTGAGAAAATATGAAGAAGGCAGTTTCCCACTAATTAGGGCCCGTTTTAGGCAATTCGTTAAGCGGTGGCCCCGCGCCACCAGCCATCAGGAGGTGGGGCACGGGACAACCCGAAAGCAGCGCGTGCAAATGGCGCATAATGATGCTCTCCATCACCCCAGACAGGCGGCGGAGGGGTGCCGCTGGGCAGGGGCCGGGCGCCGGGCCCCGGGAGGAGAGGCCACCAAGCCGGTGGCCGCCCCGTCTACGCAAGCCCATCAGAGAAAGCGCGTGGCACTCACCAGTGAACCTGTGCCTCCGGAGACCGTGGGGCACTGCCTTTCCCACGCAAATCCCGCCCTCGGAGGCACTGGGGTCTTCAGACCCTGGGGCCCGGGGCCTTGCGCGCCGAGTCCCCTCCGCTCAGCCACCTGGGAGGGCCCCTGTTGCCCGGGTGGCAGGCCGGCTGGCCTCCTCCTCTGCCACCGCCTTCACACTCCACTGGGGCGGAGAAAGGTGGAACCATTTGCCAAATATGCAAAAAAGGAGGGAAGATAGTTTTCTCTCAGGAAAACATGGGCAGGAAGGGAGCCTGCACTTCCTGTGACCAAAACGGGTTCAGAGATTATGAGGACGTCTGATGGGAGAGGCTTGCGGTGGAGGCGGGGGCTCTCGTCGTTGTCAACAGGAATTGTGAGTTCCCTAAAGGCCGATGTGGCCACGGGAGAGGGAACATAATAGGACCAGGCCAGCGCTGGGGAAGACGACAGGCCCCACCATGCCTGGGACTTTGGGTTTTCACCACTTTTAACAGTTGATCGCCAGGCGGGTCCCTCAAGGCACCTGTGGGTCCCGCCTGTTTACCACGGTAAACTCCGAGAAGGGACAAGAAGCCAACGGAAGGGAGCGGGCTGTGGCCCGTAGGTGAGGCCTCACGGGCGCCCTCCTCCCGAGTGACCCCCAGCGACACACGGAAGCAGGGTGGGTCCTGCCCCCCCCCCTCCCCACCCCCCCCCCCCCGCGCAGGAACTTGTGCACAGTGTCTTTGTTTGGCTGTGTTCACGCTGTGCATGTGGTCACATATGAAAAAGATTTGTCAGAAGAGCATCACACATTCACAAACGACGTCAAACAAAAGCCATTAAGTAAATGGCGGCGACGGGGCAAGGATGGGAGTGTGTACCACGGGAGCTGCAGAGAGATCCCGGGGGTGAGGTTGTTCCTTACCCGCAAAGAGCACAATGGTAGCCTGGGTCCCCGAGACAAAACCGGTGTGAGCGTCCAGAAGACCCCACGGGGAAGCCGGGCAGGCTGGAGTCCCCTCTGGGGCACGCAAGTCCCCGACCAGCCCCACGCCTGTCTCCCTCCCCATCTCAGCTTTAAGTGTGTGTGTGTTTCACACCAATACTCTGAAAGACAACCTCCCTGACACCTAGTGACCCATGCACCTGTGCCCAGCATGAGCAAAACAAGGATCGGTGTCAAGGTGTAAACAAGATCAATGCTTCTCCTTTTGTAAGCCTGAGAGGATGGGTCACTTGTCGCTTCTACATCTCGTGTTTTCGTCCGTGACACAGAACAACTGCACACACGCATGCCTGACAGCTCCAAAAATACCAACGTACACACCCGGGCCAGGGAGTGGCCTCAACGGTTGGGGCGAGAGGTGCAGCGTCTCATGGCCAGAAGCAGGAGCCACGGTCCCCAGACAGGCCTGTGGGGCTGGCACATCAAGGGCTGCCAGGGAACCCCAAAGGGGCTTGCTCTGGTCTCTGGGAGCTGGAGCCACTGCATGGATCTCCATCAGAATAAGGCCACAAAAACCAATACTTCTTTCATAGTGAAATTATTTCGTGATTACAGAGATTAGAGGAGGGGGAAAAACACACAAAGGCCACGAAGTGGGGCCCTCCTCGGCAGATTCGCGTCCACAGCACCAGGCAGACACCCAAAGCACTAGCACCATTTAGGTCTCAACTCAACAGTATTCATAGGAAAATCCATCCTGCTCCAGTGAAAGACCCAAACCAGCCAACCAAACAGGACCTCGCCGGAGGGGCTTCGCTACTCGGGTCAGGTCGGTGGGATGTGACGACTCTCACCCTGCCCCCACGCCTCCCACTAGGCCGTGTGCATGCTCCGTGTGTGCGTGTGCACAGACTCTGAGAGCTTCTTTATTTCCTGTATCAACGCACGCAGCACCTCGACAGATACACAGAGCACCTGTCCGTGTGGGGGCGAGGGCATCTGGTCGCCGGGCATGCCGTCGACAGGATGCACACTCACCGTGCGGCTTCGGGGGTCCCAAGTCGGACATCTGTGTTGACAATATGCGGCCATACGACCCGCACAAGAAACACACTGATTCAAATCAAGGGGGGGGGGAGAAAAATCTCCCCCAAAGAACCATCATCCTCAAACTTTCAGGTCTCTAGCAAAGTGACCAGGACACAGCGGCCCCCAGAGCCGTGGGGCTTCAGACTTCGTGCCCGGGGCATTCGCCAGGGTCTTAATTTCTCAACAAAGGAAATGGAGCCGAGACAGCTGCAGCTTGTCCCCTCCGAGGAGACATGGACCAAGTTCCCAAAACAGTGAAACGCAGCCCCAGCACACTTTTATTGACGGGCCGAACGCTCATCCCGTGAGACCCTGCTGGTGGGCTACTGCTGCTACCGGCCCTCTGCATTCGGGGGACGGGTCATGTATTGAGATGCAGCCGCTCAATTAAAACCCCAGTGAATTAAACCAACGAGCCAGCACGCCCGAGTTTCTAGAGCTCCTGCGTTCAACTATCACCATGAAACAAAAGGGGAAGCAAGCATGACCATTTAAGTCAATCCTACATTCTGGCATCAGCTCTGCTGGACGTCAAGACTGGGAAGCACATTTTTTTTGGGGGGGGGCACATAAAAAAAGGTATAAAATGTATGTTCCTGGAAAGTTTTGAAATCAGACACATTCTGTCAAACCAGAAGCGTATGGGATTTTAAAATGTGACATCATTATTTATATCTCTGCCTACAAGTTATTTTAAGCGTGTCCTGCATGTTCTATGATGTAAGCAGGTAATCTTCCTGTCTCGGATATTTGGCCCTGTGCACGTAGGAAATAAGCTGATTTGTCACCGAAACAATTCTGACACTCAATATGAAAAAAAAAATCAACCAATTAATACTTTTAAAATTCCAAATTAAAGATGAGTCTCATTAGCCTCATCCAACATCCTCAAACAAAGAAACAAATTCACGAGGCTCCCACCATTTCCTGCCTCCTCCTGTCTCCTCTCAACTCGGAACCGAGTGAATCCATCCTTGCAACCATTTCGATTTCTGTCAAAGTTTAAACGTGGTCCAGGTGAAATATTTTCAACTTCCACGGAGGTTTCTCTTTGCAAACGGAAGTCGATCTGGCTAGCAAGCAGGTGTTCTTGCAGCAGCAGTTTGTCTCCCAAGTTGCAAACGAGGTCTCCGGGAGCTGAGACACAGGGTGGGGAGCAGGGTGGGAAGTGGGGAGCCTGCAACCAAGCTGCCCTGACTCGGCTCTGGGGCGGCCGCAGCCCGGAGCCTGTGTCCAAAAGCCACGCTTGTCCGGCCTGTACCTGCCCCGCCCGGTGCCTCCCAGTTAGACGGGGGAAAACAAAACAAAACAATACAAAAAAAAACCAAGTCTCCTCTTCCCCGATTCCTTAGGAATCACCGAGGATCCCTGACGATTTTTAAAAAGATTTCACTGCCAAGGCAAGTCGCCCGTAACCTGATGCCGCAGTCCCAGGGAGTTTGGAGCCCTAGTAGCCCAAATCGCAGTCCAACGAAGTCCTGCTAACTTTTCACACCGGGATGATTCTGAATTTTGCAGAAAGCAGGCGAATTCGGACCCCACCTAATTATCCGCACAGTGGAAGCAACGCGCTCTCAGCTCCGAGATAAAGGAGAGCTCTGCCCCCGGCTCCGTGCAGCCTGACTTCCGCGGTCTCCAGGGCGCACAGCGGTGCACATCTCACCGGGGCTGGGAGGTCCCCATCGTGGGGACAGCGGGAGGCTCACAGGCCCCCGCCGCCCGCCTGGCCCCGCGCTGCGGCCACCGCGCACGCTGGAGGCTCCGAGGGACAGAGGTCAGCGCTGTCACCGGCCCCGGAGGGAGGCCGGACCCAGGCTCCCCAGGCTCGCGGACCCTCCCGCCCGCCCTCTCCCCGTGTCCCGCTCTACCGGCCCAGCCACCGGCCGTCCCCCGCCGCTCCCCGGGAGAGCACTCACGTGGACGTGCGCGCCGCGCTGGCGGGGCTCCGAGGCCGAGCTGTGGCCGGGGCTCCCTCCGCCCCGCCGGTCTCGCCGCCTGCCAGGTGCCGCCGGGCTCGGCGGGGACGCACGGAGGTCGCCGCGGTCGCCGCCCCGGGCGCGGGCCGCGCATGCACTTGTTAGAGCGCGCGGCTAACTTGGCCGCCGGGCTCTTCCCGGCTTCCTTTCACAATGACTTCCTGAAGTTGCTCACTCGCATTGTTCCCCATTTCTCCGCCGCCCGCCCCCCCGCACCCACCCCCACCCCTCCCGCGGGCTCCGACCCGCTTTCGCGCTCCCGCCGGCCGCTGCCCCGAGCGCACAGCGCCGCCCGCGGGCCGCGCACCTGGGCCCCTCCGCGCCGCGCCCCGCGCCCCGCGCCCCCGCGCCTCGCCACCTGCGGCCGCGCTCCAAAAACTTTGGGGAGCTGCGCACCTCGGGCCGCGGCTCCACCCGCCCAGAGCCGCCCCGGAGCACGCAGCCCGGGGGCGCAGGGCGCAGGGCGCAGGGCGCAGGGCGCAGGGGCGCGGGGCGCGGGGCTGGGAGCGGGGCGCCCAGGGGGCGCGGACGGGGCTGGGAGCGGGGCCGGGGTCCGAGCGCCCCGCCCGCCCCGCCCCGCCCCGCCCCGCCACCCGCGCGGTGCGGTCCGACCGCAACTCCCGGGCGGCGCGCAAACTTTGCCGGGGCGCGAGGCTGGCTCCCGGCCCCGGGCCGTACCTGCTGGCGCCGCCGGCTGCAGCCCGCTCGCCCGCGCAGGGCCCGCTCGGCGCGCCGCCGCCACCCCCGCGCGCAGCGCGCCCGGCCCTCCCCTCCCCGCCCCTGCCGCCGCGCTTCCTCATTCCAGCGCCGCATCGCGCCGCGGCCCCGCGCGCAGGTGGCAGGTGGCGGGGGGCTCCCTGCGCCCCGGGCCCGGGGGCGGCCTCGGCCGCGGGGCCCGCGTGGAGCCCCGGGGGCGCGGCGCGGGCGGGGCCTGGCGGTGGGGACGCGCCCCCCGGGCGCTGGGGCCGCGGGACCTCGGGAAGCACCTTCCCCGGCGTCGGGGGCGCGCGGGGGTGGGGGGCGCACTGCCCGCGAGCGGGGCCACCGGGCTCCCGGCTCCCGCTGCGACCCGGGCGACGAGGGCCCACCCCGGGGGGTGGGAAAAGTTGATCCTCCGCAAGTGAGAGGAAGCTGCAGTGCATTTTCCCAGACAACCAATGGAATACCTCTCGCCTGTCTTCCCTCCCACCTGCTCAAGCAGAACTTAGGATCGCGCCTCGCATCCTGGCCCGGGCGCACACGCGGGTGCGAAGGCGCCGCAGCGGGAGGAGGCGGCACCGAGCAGCCCCGCGGCGGCTCCGCGGCTCCCCGCGCTCACACCCCTCCCCGCGAGCCCCAGGCGCGCGTGGAAGGTGCGGGGGCTGAGACGGGATCGCGGCTCCCACAGCAGAGCCCTCCACGCCCGGGGCCGGGAGCCCCGCGATCCCATTGCCAGGCCCCACGGAGCGCGCACCGCGAGCAGGAGAGGGGCACTTGCCCTGATGCCTTGATGCCCTGATGATGCCCCGTGGGCGTCGGGGGAGGGTCACAGGTGAGCGAGCCTCCCGCCCCGCCCCTGGAGACTCAGGTGGGCCTTCCAGGTGCAGACAGGGAACAGGTGCAAAAGGTCATTGGCGCGCTGAGCTGGGCAGGGCTCGGCACCCCCGCCCCGGGAAGCCTGCGGCCTGGCTGCGCCTGGTGCCATCCCGGGAGAAGTCCTCCCCGCCGGACCCACGCGCGGCATCCGGACCCCCTGGGCGACACCTGCCACTCCACTCCTGCCGACAACGTTTGACAGACGTTGACTCCGCGTGTTTGGAGCCCAGAGGAAGTGGGACTAGTGAAGGAGTCCTTGCTTTGGTCCCCAGTCCGCTCCTTGCCTATGTGACCTCCAGCAAGACACCCAGCGTCGCAGCGCCTCATTCTCCTCACCTGCGGAGAGGCCAGTGCTGCTGCTGCATCCAGCGTCCTTGTCAGGATTAAAGGAGGCCGCAAGCACAGGGTTCCAGGGCTCGTCGCGGAGGGGTCACGGGTGGCCTCTGGCTCTTGGGCACACTGGCACCCTTAGCCCCCAGGTTTGTAGATGTGTGACATCTTTGAATGTGAGACATATCCCCCCGGGAGTGGGAATCAAGGACTCAGATGTGGCCCTCAGGCCGAGGCATTTCCTCCTGAGGCACAGGAATATGAGGCGAGGGACCCAAAGAGTGTAGACCGTGTGGTCTTGACCGAGTTCCTAAATGTCTCTGAGACTCAGCTTCCCCATCTATAGATTGGCGGTGATCGTGGAAGGTACCTCATGGGGTTCCTTTTACATAGGAAAGCTCTCGCCACCTGCCCAGCCCCACACAAGGAGTCCGTGAGTGGTAACTGGTGCTTATTATAAACCCTGCTAGCTACCAGTGTCCCGCTGAGATGGGGAGCAAGCCCAGGAAAACCGGGCTCTGTGGGCCACCCCCCCACCTCTCCCAAACAGGTGGAGCAGAAGGAGCTCAGGCTATAACCCGGGGTCTGTGGGTGGACACCGGGGCCGGGGAGAGGGTGCTTAAATGCTTAAATCAACAATAAAAGCACAGGGGTCCCTGGGTGGCGCAGTGGTTTGGCGCCTGCCTTTGGCCCAGGGCGTGATCCTGGAGACCCGGGATCGAATCCCACCTCGGGCTCCCGGTGCATGGAGTCTGCCCCTCTCTCTGTGTGTGACTATCATAAATAATTTTAAAAAAGTAAAAAAACAATAAAAGCACATCGGAGAGGAAAACCTATCCGGAAACATGGGATGTTTTTTTAAGAACCATGGGTGTAAAGTCGTTTTGTTTCTTGAGAATATATACCTTACCGTGTTTCGTGAAGGACGGCCTCCTTTATCCGGACGGTGCCTGCCAAACGACCCATTTTTCTTTGGGGATATCATCAAAGCAACAAAGAGCCCGTAGAGAATGAATCGCAGACGACTTACTCAGAGCTCACTCTACGAAGGGACGCAGCTACGGGCACTTTTGTTCCGGCAGAGACCGGGAGATTTCACAGGAGAGCGAGTCCCCGAGCAGACGGACGGTGAAGGGGATAGGGCAAGAGCCTTTCCTACTCCCTGTGTGAGTCTTGGAAAATCACCCAACCTCTCTGGGCTCCGCTTTGTCATCTGCAGAGCACACCTGCGGCCGATGGCGCCGACAGCCCTAGGAGGAATTCCCTGAGCCTTGGGGGCTGCTGACGGCAACTGTATCTCTGCACGTTGGCTGTAACTGTATCTCTCTTCCCTTTGAAAGTATCTGCTAAAGCCCCGCAGGCCAGCCTCCTTGTTTTCCCTTCTACAATGTGTCTAAAATGTTAAAGTCCCATAGCTCAGACAGCTTCCTCTCTAAAGAAGCAGGAACAGAAGGAAAAGGACTGGGACATGGATGAAACTTTTGCAACAAGGACTCTGCTGCTTTGGTTTCTTTTCCTCAGCTTTCACCATCTCCAGCTTCTGCTTCTGCTGCTTTTGAAACTGAACGGTGCTGGCCCGGGTTCTTGACTTTTCTTCCTTTCTTTCTTTCTTTCTTTCTTTCTTTCTTTCTTTCTTTCTTTCTTTCTTTCTCTTTTTGAGATTTTATTTATTTATTCATGAGAGACACAGAGGGAGAGAGAGGCAGAGACACAGGCAGAGGGAGAAGCAGGCTCCCTGTGGGGGAGCCCCATGTGGGACTCGATCCCGGGACCCCCGAAGGTAGACGCTCGACACCTGAGCCACCCAGATGTCCCTTGACCATTTTTCTTGAGGCCCACTCCTCGGCTTTGGCTTCTTCTAAGCACAGGCCCTGGCTGCCACTGCTTCTGGAAGGGAAGGAATGGGACACAGCGGAGAGCATGGGAGCTCCCACCGGGCCAGGACTGCCCAGCAGGCCAGCAGGTGGGGCGGGGGGCAGTGAGGGGTGGGAACCTGCCCCATCAACGGCAAGGAAGAGCCCTCAGGGTGCTCCCTTTCCTGCAGTGTTCCCAAGGCCCTTGCTGGAGGCTCAGTTGCTCCTGGTTTTGAAACCCACAGACACTCAACAGCGCTGCTCGTCACTCACATTTCCACCTCTAAGATTTGAATCCAGCATGTGCCGGAGCTGATGACCAAATTCCTCCCAACTTATGACAGTTCTTTTGCTTTATTCCCCTTGGATTTTGTCCGAATACACTTAGCTTCTCAAAAATGGTGGCTTTTTATCAATATCATTTGGTTGGAAGAGATCGAAAAGCAAACCAGTTCGTATATAACGACTTGGAGAAGGTAGATGCACCCAGAAAGCTTTCTGATGAAGAGTTTTTCAAAGTGTGTTGGCTGAGTAAAGGGAAAGTAGGTCTTGATCTGAGCCGAACAGATCAGAATAAGGACAGAGGGGTGGGGGTCACCCTCCAGCTGATGCCACTGTACAGGAACAAGATGAGGACATGATCTGTGGAGTTAGCAGTCTGCCGGTGGCATGGATTCAGTGACAAGCTCTCCGGGCAGGTGGTACTTGAGACAGGAAGTCCCAATGAGGCAAGACACGTGACCTTACATGAAAGGGCACCAACCTCGTAAAGTAGAAACAATTGCATTTCCATGCAAAACAGGTCAAGGTAAATTCCAATGCAAATCCTGTGGACACACAAAAGGGTGAAGCAGCTCTGTGGTCGCTAGAGTGGAAGGGCTTTGTGGATGGGCCCAGGGAAGAGGGGAAAGCACAGAGGAGCTCTAGGGAAATGCTAGTCTTCCCCACGTGGTGGGGGCGCTTGAAAGACTCTCCTCCCGAGGGAATTAAGGAAAGACTGGAAGTAGTATCCTGATGACTGCCCTACCGAGCCCCGCCCTGTGAAGGACATTGCACACGTTATTTCTCACCTCACAGTACAGGAAAGCCCGCATTGCCACCTCCATCCCACATAAGGACACAAAGCTCAGAGATGGTGACTTGCCTGGGGCCAAAGGTTAAGGGACAGACTGCAGACAAACCACGTGGGTTTGGTAGCTTGGCAAGTCACTAGGCCTCCCTGTACCTCAGTTTCCATTTCTGAAAAATGTGAAT